CTTGGAGCGGTGGCTACTTTACAACACTCACAGGGACCATAGGGCATAAAAGCAGCCACCCTCCAGAAGGAAGGACAGTGTCAGCACCAATTCAGAGATGGTTTGAAGATCTACAGCTCAGTGGTAAACAAATAAGATACATTTGTGTTAAACGTTAAGGTGCTTAAATGTAATTTTAGGATTTAACTCCTGAGCTTAGTGTCGCTAACTAATCCTTACTCTATTCAAAAGTCAAAAAAAGTCTTGGCTTTAACTTTACTTAAAATATTATGGTAGAAGTTTAGATTATAGCCCTAGGCTTTATGGTTTGTTCACACTTGACACATTGTAATGCATTTTTGTACATTTTCCAGTAAATGGAACATCCATTGTTTTCCATAGGACCTGTCACACCAATGAATTGCAGGATGCATTTTTGATTTTGCCATTCATGTCAATACAGTTCTTAATAGAAACAAAAATGAAAACAAAACACAATGCAGCACACCACACATCAATGCAAGTAAATTGAACTATATGCATTTCCTTAAAACAATTTATCTTGAAATCAGAGAAACGTTGACATTTTTATATAATTTCTTGTTTTAATGTTGACAAATATTTTTTTTTAGAGTTGTGAAAACAACTTAAGCAAAAACATCCTGTAATATGCCAGATAAAGTAATACATTAAATCTTAAAAGTGAAGCTACACTTTGTTGAGAAAAAATAAAACAATTTCTAGGACAGTTATATACATTGCACAGATTTTTAAAAAATTAATTGCAGATTTTTGCGCGTTTTTCTACTGTGGAAACTGACACATACATTTCAGTCACTTCTAATTTCCCAGGAGGAGAGTTTGCCATCTGCCTTCTGAAATCACATAATCAGTCACAGCGTAGTAATAAGAGTAAAATGCTAAAAAGCAGCATGAACATTCAGGAACCATTCACACCCTAGACAGTTGCTACCAGCTGGTTTTGGGCCTTTACTTGAAACAGAAACTATGGAAAGCAGAGGATTTCAAGCAACAAATATGTTTAGAGGGAGGCTAGCAATGCAGCCCACCTATTTCTTTTATGACCGGAGTGCCTTAACCCTTTTGTGACCAGAGGCCATTGATGCACAGACCAAGTTTACAGGGTATACCTAAATAATTGTGTATTTTTTTAGGATATATTTAGTACATGGTTTTAACTACCTCAGGGCCGCAGTATGTATATTAACAGGGGCAACCTGAAGTGGTTATAGCAAGATCACGGCTGATCTTGGTATCATTTTTTTAGAGCCAGCAATGGCTATTACATACAAGCGTTCCGGCCACTATAGAGCTGTCCTATCGCTTGTACAGTGCTGGGAAAGTGTGCCCCCCCACCACCACCACCACCACCACTGCCGGCTATCCTAGGCTTCTCTGTCCCCCTCACGGGCCTGGTGAGTCAGAATACTTCGATCAGAAGAAGATCAGAACACTTCCAGCAGCTGATCTCCCCGCCAATCACTAAAAGCGAAAGTGATATGTATTACATCACTTGTGGTTTCCGTGTATAATTTCTCCAGCAACATGGTCTCTGCTTTCAGAAAATGTATAATGGGGGTTTTAAGCTGTTTTCTAGTCAAAAATTCAGATTTAATCATGTGTTCGCAAAAATTAGCATATTACGCTTTTTCTATCATTTTATTTTAGGCTTACAAATGGACAAGAATGTCATTTTTATTCTTTAGTTTTTCTAGTTATTTAAATACACTGCAGCAGTATCTGGCAATTACTGTATTAAGCAGATGGACATTGTCACCTGCTCATTGACAAAATGGGCTTTCTTTTTCAGTGAAGCCTCCAGCCTGGATGTGATCACTATATCATAGCCTACATAGTGATCACTTGATTAGAAATCACTCAAAACAACACCACAATTAACACTTATTTTGTGGATCCAATGTGGCTTATGTATAGTTCAGGAGAACTACAGTTGGGCTTTAATTCTTTCTGCTTATAGGCTCCACAGTGCCACTCCTTAAGGGCTCTTGTCCTTTCCTAAACTCAATTTAGGATTTATCAATTTTTAGGGGGAGTTCACCATTTATTCACCATTTATTCATGACAGTTTGCTAGTTTCTATTCATCATGTTAGAATAATTATGGCATTTTAGAAAGGCACTTTTGGAACTAAATTCTTTAAATAACTTTACTGTACACCACTTTAGAAAAATGAGCTAAAATAAATGGCAAGTCACTAAAACACAATAGTTAATATAAAATATGGCAAACGTATATTTTTAACATTTTTATAAAGAAACCTCAAGCAGGCCTGGCTTGATTGGCACTGAGAGGAGCATTAAACACAATCACCGAGCCTGGGTATGTACTAAACAAATATGGCTGCCCCCATGCACATGAATAATTACAAACTATACATTAAGAAACAATTTCTAAAACTTGAACATACATTGATCATTTTACATGTAGTTGATCACATTCATGTATATATTATGTAAAAAGATATTGTCTAATACCGGTAATTGAAATAGGCCCATCCACTTTTATTCTTCACCTGTACATGTTAGATGCCCTTCTTACCTTACAGATGCTAATGGCCCAGATGTCAAGCTCAAGCTGCTAACACGCACTAATTCATGACTGATACACTTTTTGAATATCTATCAGTGAAGGTAAGATTCCCATGCCTTGGTTAAAAAGGCATCTATGGAGAAATGGTTTACAATTCTTTACTTGCCATTTACAGCAGGTGCATCCAGGTGCCAGCATACCATATGTAGCATCCCTACACCCCAGGATTAAAATACCAATGAAGTTTTCCGGATTGCTTACTTTGACTCCTCCCTACACCATGTACCTAACTATCACCAAGTACCAATAGTAAGATGCATGGGGGTAGAGGGCAGGGTAAGGTTTGGTGACAAAGAAGCTTGTCGGTGTCTGCATTCTGGGGAACAAGAGTGTTATACTCGGTTAAAAATGTCTCCACAGGTTTATCCCAATATGCTTTTAAAAAATGTATCACTTTTCCCAAACCTGTTAGAAAAAATCCAGGGTGTATTTATAGATACTTTAAAAAAAGCTAGTGTTGATTAAGAGTAATACAATATGTATTTGTAATTAAGAAATATTAAATATTCATAGTTTTCACAATGAATACATGATGAGGACTTTTGTCTAACAAGTTCACCCTGATATAATCTTCGTTTCGTACTGTCACTATGTAGATGGGAAATAACAAATGTTGCTAATTCAATAAAAAACTGGTTTTAAAGCTGAACTCCAAAAAAACAACTAAATACACAGATGAAATACATCTAAGGGTTTTACCTGCCAAAGAATTTGTATTTTTGTCCATTCGTTCCTTAGATTTACTTAGCTCTTCCACACAGCACAGCCCTGTCCAGAAGGGAAGAAAACCTATTTTTTTCCTACTGCAGTTAAGTTACACTTGCAGGTCTTGTCCCTCCATGAGCCTGTGACTGGACAGTGAAAAGATAAACAGCAGACTGATGTACTAATCTCCATCACTCTATTATCTCCTCCTGTCATCATGCCCCTTGTTAGCATTTGAGCACTGCAGCACAACTGTCTGGTCCTTATATTGCTTTTCCCTCTTCCACTCTAATCTCAATGGACTGCAAGAGGTTGATAACAGGTAAAATTCAGTTATTAGGAATCATAGAAAGAAATTGCTGGATCCATGTGGTTATTTTCTCTTGGTGTTTCTCATACACCTGTAGTTAAGTGATGTGAACAGGTGTGTTCTGGCTAACAGGTACATTTAAGTAGAGCAGCCAACATGTTTCAGGGGTCCAAAACACACCACACCCCCTTCATCAAATCTAATACAAAACACAGGAACATCGGTGTCAAAACATGATAATGCCAAAATGACTTGCTAGAAGTCTAAACATAAGTGAAAGTTATGGAAATAGTGTACATATAAGAAATGATTGCAATATGATAAATGCTTACATGATACATCAGAAATAAAGGGTAATACATGGAAAGTCGATTTTTTATAATACAAGAATTGCATACATTCATATTACAATTAAATACATTCATCAAAGTATAGTATCACAGTTCAATAAATGTTCACAGTACATTTAATGTATTTCTTCTGTTTATACTATTTCCATAACTTCCACTTATGTTTAGACCTCTAGCAAGTCATTTTGGTGCTGTTGTGTTTTGGTACCGATGTTCCCTTGTGTTTTGGACTGCTGAAACATATTGGCTACTCTACTTGACTGTCCCCTGACCCTAATGGAATAAAGTTGCATTTGGACTATTTTACCTGGTGTGGCACTTCAATTCCTACATCTACTAAATTCAGCTATTACACTGTTTTTATTTAAAAATGCATTTAATAATGTATTATTGATTAAAGAACTGCATTGGTCTGTGTATTTTTTATCTGCCTGGAGTTCAGCGTTAAATTTCCCATTTAGTAAGTAAATGAATGGTGTACTTATCCATGTATTAAGAATCTACTGTATGTGAACTAACAAGCAACGTATCATATTCTCACTTTGGTGCTTAGAAAATAAAGCAATATGGTAATTTATTTTTTAAGACAAACATTTTCTGGATTTTAGACTGAAACATGCAGGATGCATTAAGGGTAATTTTAATTGTCACCCAGAGTTCCATATGCCATAGTTTACACTACCTCCCTCTGTATTCAAAAGCACTGTAAAAGGTTCAGTATTCAGCAAAAACAATCTGATGATAAATTAGTACTAAATCACAACAATAAGAAGCACAGCACAGCGTGGAATAGGGGGATCTCTAAACTAGATAACAGAAAACAAGGGCACCTTTACTATTTACACTTCAGCTCTCTATTTGATTCATTTTACATTCATCAGATAAAAAATAATAATTTAGAAACGCAGTAAAAATGATATACAGTAGTTGTGATCCAAACACAAAGCAGGTTGGGCAAGCCTCGGCAACACAATAATCATTTAAAGTAGTTGTTTAGCAGTAAACAAACATGCCGTAATGGAGTTCTAGTTGCATACTCGATGAAAGTAAAAATAATAATCTGTGTACAGGATTCCAGCAAAGTTTGGATCTGTTGAACAATTTGCAAGATCCTATAAAAAGAAAAGAGAAGAAAATTATGTGCTAGAAATATTTGTTTCCTTCCTTTTGTTTTTCTGCCGAGTGAAAGAGCTACCTGACTTTTATTGCGGGTCTTCCACAACCTCCTGTAATAAAAAAGAGATGACTGGATGCCAACACCCATCCACGCTTGTGGGTTGCAGCAACGTGCACGGAAACATGCATTTTTGCAACACATAACACAAGGACTGCACAAGGAGCAGGTGTGACGCCATGCATTGTGTAAACATACATTCCCGAGTGTTTCCACAACACACAAGTGGTCTTATCACCTTGTACAGTAGTGTGCAATACACCACAGTGCACCACAATACATATGCATTGGTGTGCAGCATTGCAAAGAATAGGCATGTATGGTTTTTCATCCGTTGTGGTGCATGGGCAACCCATTCATAATGAATGGACTACCTTAAAGCAACACAAGATAACATTTTAACTGCATTTTAACACTACGTTAACAGCTAAGTGTGAATCTGCCATAAAATGCAGATTAGGAAGTCAATAATCTGTCCCTGTTTACCATATCCTGCAACTGCTTGAGCAACTGTAGATATTACAGGTAAAGACCATGTATTAATGGATCATCTCAGAATGCTGAGGGTTCTGTGGGTCAGTGAAATATGTCTTGTAGCTCGTAAGGGCCTGTCTATACTGGCTTTTGTTTTCATCAGTACTGCTTTTCCCCTTGTACAAATCAATGGGAATGCAAAAGCAGCTTGATGCAACTTAAGGCGGCTATACACCTTACAATTATCTTTATTTATCTTGTTGTGCCTTCATCAAACCGTTGTTCGATTTCTGCTCAAATACCGCATCATGCACAGACCAATGTGGATTTCAATTATCGGCCATTAGCAATACTAACTGACCAAATTTCTAGCCTGTCCGATAGATGGAATTCAGCCAGTTGTACAGTAATTGTGATCGTTGACTTCCCATAAACTGGCTGATTATCATACGAAAACCCCATGTCGAATGATAATCGCAAGGCGTATGGGCACCTTTAGGAAGAGGTGAAATGCACAATGAAGTGTCTCAAACTGACCAAAGGTAAGTGGAATGCACCTGAAAGCACTCTGTATTTGCCCATCTACACAAGCTCTAAAGCTAATTGCTATGGAGGAATTAATACAGTCTACGAAATGGTGCTAGTGCTACTATAGTTTTATTTGACAAAGCTGGTGTCTGAGGTCATTAGTAGCATGATGAGGACAAAGCAAAAGGAGCGCCTCTGTAATGTAAAATTGATTTATTGAGAATAAAACACACAGCTGAAAAGGTACTTACAAACCAGCTTGTATAAACGAACAGAAAACGATATAATCTTAGTAGACCATCAAGATGAATACACGAAAATAGGGTGAGGGAAAGGAAGTGCTAGCGTGCAGATAGCTTCGGCTTAGTACTAGGACTTCCTTTCCCTCACCCTATTTACGTGTATTCATCTTGATGGTCTCCTAAGATTATATCGCTTTCTGCTCACAAGAAGTGCAAAGATTTTTCTTATTTCATGTTCTCTCTCACACTTATCAAATAGATAGGGAGTAAGCAGAAAATTGAGGTTCTAACATTTGCACTTTAGCCAAAAATGAAATTTAAGTTTTGCCTATGATTTAGCTTTAAACTGTATGTATAGCGAAAACTTTTTTGGATAGAGTAGGAATGGGTTGAAAACCCCTTGAGATTACTTTTTTGTTGCCTCTGTCCCTTCACTTCCTGTCCTGGAGATGCAACAGGAAATGTACCCAAAGTGAGGGTCATTTTTATCTTAGTTGTCCTAGGAACATTTGTGCCCATTGGATATTTTACCCTTACCTCCTGCTGGTGACAACTCTAAAATGTTCAATGGCCCATCACTTTCAGTCTCTGTGACAATGGTCACCAGAACAAATAGAGGGGATAAGTTTCCCCAGCAGGGACACAAGTCTAAGACTTCCCTACTCTATCCAAAACTAATGAAAACATTTTGTCCTCACATACACTTTAAGGCCATATGGCAAACCATTAAAATGATTGCATAAAACCCTAAAACTTACAAAATAAATAGAGCAGTAACAATAAAAAGAAGATCTCCACCAAATATAGGTTTCTCCAATGAGGGCAGTGGTTATACCACAGGATCCCCACTGCTTTCTTGAAATACAACAGACAACTCGCCTCTTACCCCGCACCGTTACGGCACAGCATTAAGAATGGCTTTAATCCCCCATTTTTTAGAAATAGGGTGTGACAAAGTAACCCAATGTTTAGCATTAATGGGCTATCATTATAACTAATAAAGCATTTGTGCCCCTGATGGCAAATTATTAGACATCCCCAAATGTAATAGTTGGTATAGTTGTCACATTTAATATTTTCTTCTTGCTTTCCTCATTAAACAATTGTGAATCCAGGAGTTTGCCTACAACCATCCTTACTTAGTGGTCCTTATTTTATTTAATAGCTACTTTCTGAGCGCGTTTAAGTAAACTCACCGGAGTAGCCACACGGAAATGGTATTCACTGTCAAATAGATAGGCTACAGGGAGGATCCAGTCATGCTGAAGACCCTAAATAATAAAAGTTGTTACATGGATTAGTTAAATACACACTTATCTCAAGGAGAAATAATAAAGCATATATTGTCTAACAACCACAGCAAACATTTATTTTAGTAACATAAAACATTATTGGAATGATAAAAACTCTTATTTGTCAAAATACTACAAACAGCAAGTCTTTGAGAATTAAAATTGGAAATATTTTCCTGAGTACACTGCTCTAACATTCTATTACAAGAAAGCAAAACAGAGCCTCCTTGAAGAGCAGGGCACAATATCTAGAGAAGAAAAATATGAATGTAGTTGAATGCAATAATATAAAAAATAGCAACAATCTGCATACTGAGCTGTAAATGTGAGCATACATTATAATAATCTGAATCATTACCTTTATTGTGGCAAAGTCTTATTATAAACTGGGGTGGAAATATGTCCCTCAAACCTCTTATTATGTGACTATATTACTATGTGTTTCACTTAGGGGCATATTTATAAAATATTAATTGGCTGAACATTTTCTGGCATTCCCTGCACGCATGCACTGTATATATAAAGAAAATGTGCATCTGGATGTCCGTTTATTGTCACTTGTAGAGTCACCTGCATGTACTAAAAAAAAGGATGCCCCCCATAAATTAATATAGCACAGTAATGGTTGTGTGTCATGGCTGATTGCCATTCTACATACTTTTAAGCATGCATTGAAAGGGACCACACCTCCCAGAGAACTAAACCCAATGCTGCCATGGGTTTTTCAGCACCCCTGATGTTCCAAAACAGGATCCTATTATGAAGGGGCTTATGACAAACCCATCTGCCTCCCATGGTAGGATCAAATTGTAGTTAATTTTCATTACACATGTGAGTATCCAGAAATGGGGAGCACATCCCATTGGAAAATAGGGAGGGTAATACTTGAATTAGCATAGTTTTAAGATAACCCCAGCACCAGTTTTGGATAAACTGGGGCCCTGTGCAAGAATCATATCAGGGCCCTCTTGGTGAAAATACTACAAGTCCTCTGACACAATCTACTACATAGGGTACCAAATACTGTGCTCCTCTGTGTCTTTTACCCTTCTGTTAAATCACCCTTCCCCTAAATCACCTAACAGTAAAACAGACTTTTTGCCAGAGGTTAATTATTCAAAATTCAAGAAGATTAGGAATTCTAAACCATAGTGAATGTAGGAAAAGTTGATGAAGCTGGACAGATAAATGGTGACGCAGAAGTTAATAAAATGCATGTTATACCTTCTATTCATTTAGAGGTCGAAGGGACCCACTACACTCTGCATAAAGCAGCTCCCCTACCTCTACCATGCATGCAGAGCTTTCTTATTGCAGAGGCAAGTCTATGGCAACCAGGGGACCATAGTCTGGAGGCCACTGCTCTTAATGAAAGGACACATAAGCAGAGTATATATTTGGTAAAACATGGGGAAAAATGGATTGGCACGTTTTATATGTTTATTGACATAGCGTTTTTGGATTTGTTTTAATCGGCACAGTTTTCATCATGTTTTACACTAAGGGGTTTTAACATATTAGAACTTTTTATTTATTTATAAACTTGTCACCTTAAATATACACAAGTATTGGAGCTGGTAAAATTGATATCTGTGATACAGCTTTGATATAAAGGTATTCCCTGCCTACTGAAAGAACAAACAGCATGTGTCTGGGTGATAAAACAATTAGGCCTGGCTCACACCTAGGCATTTCTGAGCAGTAGGAAAAGCATTTTAAAATGACCAACACAAGAAATCCCATGATTTTCAATGGCCCCTGTTCACACCTGAGCAGCAAAACGCCAAATGCAGAAAAGGGTAAATGAGCTTCTTTTGGCAGTTTCATGTGATTAGTCAGGGTAAGCCATACCACTATGCAAGTCTGTGCATACACACATTTAAAAAAAAAATGATATTAAAAAATATTAATAACTTCAGTTTAGCAGAGTTAGCTTGTTAAATGTGTGTAAAGAACAGAAGGGCCACAATTTTCTCAAATGATCATGCACCATGTATTATTCTTTACACTAGTTTTTATTTGCATTTGTGCCATTTCCACACATTCTTTATTACCTGAGTTGCCTCTGTAGAATCATCCCTGTTTTCCCTCATGTGAACACCTCGGTTACAGATATTTCCCAGTATCATCTTACACTGGTAGACAATCAGTGGCTCTGTAGTGCTATAAGCAGAAAAAAGCATACAACAAAAATGTATAAAGAAAAAACACAACCTTAATAAAGAATTTCTTTCAGATTATAGTTAATGTGATATTTCAATGTCACTTTAAAATTAAATATAACCATAATAAACACAATAATATATAACTTTTAAAAGATTTGTATTTCCACTTAAATATATACATGCACATGTAGCATAGAGGAGGAAGCATTGTGGGTGAAGAGGCCGCACAGTTTGGTAATAAATTGAAAATTGTATTAAATTGTATAGGATAATGTAAGGCCATCATGTGCGACTTAATAGAAGCTCAGCCATAGAACAAGACAATCACTTGGAATAAAGAACACAAGTAGACAAATTTGTATTCTGGAATGGCCATGTGACAGTCCATACTCAACCCAAGTAAAATGCTGTGGTCATGACCTGAAGAGGACAAGTCAGGTAAGGACACACAGAATTTTCAGTTAACTAAAAGCTTCGTAAACAGGAACAAGCTTACATTTCTCCCAACCATTGTGTAAGTCTTATCAGCAGCTATAGGGAACATTTGCTGAAGTTATTGTTACTAAGCAGTTTATTACAACTACTAAACATAGTAGTTCTTTATCAGTCATGGACCATGAATATTTAAACAATAGACATGAAAGAGCACAGCTGTTGACTGTTATTACTTTGAGAATATCGTGTTTGTCTGTTTTTCAACTGAAGACCTGACCCTGTTTTAGCAACCATTTATGCAGAAATCCAGGTGTCCTGGTGTCACAATTATTCAGGTATCTCTTTGGGTTTCACCGCCCTCTTACCTGCTGCTAAGAGTTTTTTCTATGGCCACATTAGACAAGTAAAATGATCACATCATATATGCTGTTCTGTACACTTATTTAAAGAGCTATGCCAAGCAACATTTGCATCTTAACTAGCCACAAAACATAATCCCAGTGCAATTTAGAAAAACATCAACCTTTTAAGAAGATAAAAAAACAGGGTCCACACAAAGCAATCACAGGTGTAAGATGGAGTGCATATACGATCTAAGCAAAACCCTGGTAAAAAGTGAAGGATAATTTCCCCTACAGGCACACAAACATAAAAAAAATCCAAGAGCGGTTCTAAACTTTCTCTACTCTACTAAGTGGGTCTATTATTGTGGTTTGTATCTCTGATAAAAGTTTCCTTCCTGCCCAGACTCAATGAAAGACAAAATGAGGGGTAATGTCCCCAACAGAAACAAAGACATCCAATGGAACCTGACAGAGGCTCTAAATTATCCCCACTCAAATCTAAAATTAAAAGTTATTTTTTGGTATGAGGCTCCACATTGGGAATGATGGGCAGGCTTAAAAGTCAATAGATATGCATGGGAGGTAGAGCCATCAGTTTTGTGAATTAAAGTCCATTATTGCAGATGAGAACAGCCTGAGTTTTGGGAAACCTAAGGAACTCAACAAAACACATCACAAGGTATGTGCAGCACCTCAGGACCCAAATACTATGCCCAACAGGAAGTCATCAGGAAATGCCATATGACAAATTAATGACTTGTTATTAAAAATGAATTTGGCTCCCTGAGATTCAGTGGAGTATCTTCGCCCCACATAGCATTCTATACTAGTTAAAATGCTACCGATGCTCGAGACCTGATGATAATTCCTTACAATACTGCAATACAATACTGCAAGGAGCAGTGACTAACAGTCACCGCTCTCTGCGTGGAGAGTATCAGGAATCAGCAATCAGCGGCTGACTTCCCGATCAATAGAGCTGACCTGTGACAGCTTCAGTGTCACAAGTCAGCTTGAATTATGGGGTTGAGCGTTTTTCACTCACCCCATAATTCTCCTTTAAAGTCCAAGAAAAACTGCATGTCCATCTAAGACTATCCTGTCCACAGGGTGACAACATTGTTTTGCGATTTCACTACATAATGAACAGTGCTGTAACCTTACTGGAAGTAGAAAAATAATGTATCTACTGCCATGATCAGCAGGTAAAGAAACTATGTTACAGGCAGAAATGCTGTCTTAAGCTGGCCATACACTGGTTATATTTCCCCATCAGGACAGTCACTGCTTGTCCCCATGCAGTCACTGCTTGTCTATTCTGTCAGTGTCACACCCACTGCTGTCAGAATACAATAGCTCAGTGTGAGGATTACCCCATCCATGCTGTTTAGCGTGAATGGGGAAATCAAGCATGTTTTCTCTTTCAGGCCGCGCAGCTGACTGAGAAAAAATGTCCAGTGTATGGCCAGCTTTAATGCTAATGACAGACTGTGTCATATACAGTATGCAATTTTTCATTTTTCTTTCCATAATTACAGACTGCCAGGCTATTTGTCTTTTAATGTTTGCTAAAACTCTTTCCTTGGCACAAGCCATCCTTCACAGTGTGCCATGTATAATTGTTCTGTTCCTGCAGCCTAATTATCTCAGTCTGAGTTTTAAACTTGACTAGTAATATCATCTAAATCTGAGATCAACTAGATACATTTGTCATATATACCTCACTCCAATTACTCTTTGTTTTACATCTCTCATCTGAACAGTTTGATATTAAACATGGCACATAGGCAGACACAATATAGAGCATATCTTTTGGCTGAGCTTACGCACATAAGTGAGCATGAGACTATAAAAATATCAATTGGCAACTCACAAAGAAAACAAAACACAATAGGTCAAGATTTAAGTGGCACATATTTTCCTGAGCTAGTATACAAAAGACAACAATTCACTGGAATCAAGCCAACAAAATAATTGCTTTTACAAAGAAGCTAGAATTTGTTAATAGGATGAGTAAATAAATGAAGTGATTTCACACTATGCAGTTAGTTGCAAAAAGTATTACAATATCTAGCTCAGTCTTTTTCAAAGTATGGGGCTAAGCCTAGTAGCAATAGTAGCAGCCTTTAATACATATGCTGATGTGTCTTCTGTGGACTTCAATGCTCTTTTTTTTATAGGGCAATGTCTTAACTGGATATGGGCTCTCTGTCAGAGTTTGTATGAAACTGATGCACACCAGTAATACATAGATAGATAGGAAGAAATATATATATATA